GGAGTGCCAGATCATGCAACCCAGGCCGTTTGCACAGTCACCATGACTATCAGAAAGGCCCAGGGCACTGGGCAGCTGCAGAGACTCTAGACAAGATACACTAGCCTTCAGAGCCCTAGGAGGGTAGCCCTAAGAGGGTAACTGACATGGGCAACAGGATCAGCAATCTGTAATAAAAGCACAATTATCAGATGTTCTTTATTTTTTCTTTCTTTTTTTTTTTTTGAGTTGGAGTCTCACTCTGTCGCCCAGACTGGAGTGCAGTGGCCGCTCCCGGCCACCGCAGCCTCGACCTGCTGGGCTCCTGCGATCCTTCCGCCTCAGCCTTTCAAGTAGCCAGAATTACAGGCACGTGCTACCACGCCCGGCTGATTTTTGATTTATTGTAGAGATGAGGTCTTGCCAAGTTGCCCAGGCGAGTCTCGAACCCGTGGGCTCAGACAATCCACTCACCTCAGCCTCCCAAGGGTGCAGGATTACAGGCTGAGCCACCGAGCCTGGCTACCAGATGTTCTTTAAACTGGCTGCATTCTTGTCAGTATCCCAAATCGAAGAACCTTGTCCTATGTACCGATGTTGACCTTTCACACACATCCTACAGGAGTGATGTCCCTCAGACCTAGGGCTAACTCCTAGTTACTGTCCAAGCTCAGCCATGTCTCCCTAACCTCCCTGCCATGTGCAGCTGGGCTGTCTCAACCACTGAGGTCATCTAGCTGTCACCAGTGAGTTGAAGCTGAGTCACGTCAGGCCAGAGTAGATATTTATGACTGCTGAGAAAACACCTGCGGGCTTGCTTCAATCACTCCCCAGTTTAAGCCTGTCCTAACAGTTGCTTTTCAAGCAGAGACAGAGACTGAACTATCCTCTGTGATACAGCATAGATACTAAATCATATGCTGTAAAATTCTAATTTTTTCAGTAAGCAGTACCAAATATTAAACAGGTCTTTCCTTATAATAAATGTTCATCGTGGACTTTTTTTTTTACTTTTTTATTTGACAGATGTGGTACAATTCAGGATTAGGTATACAAATGTTCATTATGTAGGTACCCTTGTAGATGAGGAGTCCCTCCCCCATTCCCACTACTGCCAATCCGCTCTCCCCTCCGCCCACAGTTTCCTGTTACTGCTGTGGATATGTTTTTAATTTTTTAATGAGTTGATTCCTTAAATGTACAAGTGTTTGCACACAAACACATTTGGTCCCACTGACAGGAATTTTGCTTGAGTCAGGACTGTGGAACTAGGCTTCGGGGGTCAGCTTCCTGCCCCACGGAATGCAGTGGGAAAGTTCCCACAACCAGAGGGGGCCTCTCACATCACATTCCATGCGGGAAGCATCTGCTGAGGTTTTTTATGCAAACGGTGCAGTGTCTTGAGATGCCACTATGTCCTGAGCAGATCCCAATCAAATTCTACAAAACTTACTTATCTGCAGCATAAGCAAGGGTGTATAAGTGTGTACACAGCAAGGTAGCAGTAGACTTCGTACCATGGGGAAAGAAATTCAGACTCATATGAACTTGAGCTTACAGTATTCTCATTGTGAGGATGCGTTCTGAGAGGAAAGGTTATCATACTTTAAACTTTTTTTAATTTTTGAGTTGGAGTCTCACTCTGTCGCCCAGATTGGAGTGCAGTGGCACACTCCAGGCCAACGCAGCCTCTACCTGCTGGGCTCCAACGATCCTTCTGCCTCAGTCTTCCAAGCAGCCAGAACTACAGGTGCGCACTACCACACCTGGCTAATTTTTGGTTTATTGTAGAGATGAGGTCTCGTCAAGTTGCCCAGGTGGGTCTCGAACTCAGGGGCTCAGGCAATCCACTTGCCTCGGCCTCCCAAAGTGCTGGGATTATAGGCTGAGCCACCGAGAACGGCCCTATTTGAAACTTCTTTAAGGAAGTTGTTCTCAATCTAGGAGGTTCAGGGAAACTTAACTACAAGCTGACTAAGCAGCAAACAAAGCCAACTTCATTCACCCATTGTGCTTTCCAGGATGTCCACTGAGCAGTGGGGATGTGAACAACAGAACCACAATCCTCCATTCTGTTGCTTTGCAGGCATCAGTTTAGACCGAGGCAACCATGCCCCCACTCTTCCCACTGTACGCCAGCACCTAGAATAGGTCTGTGATGCTGAATTAATATCCAGGAACAAGGGTTCGTCCCTGAATACTTGAAACTTAATTTATCCATTCATTCATCAGTCTGAGGTGAAGCGAGTAAGACAAATAAGATGTGGCTCAGCCCCACGATGGCCTTGTTTGCCTTATTCTGGTACAGAAACAGCAAACGCCAAAGCATGGAGGTTCAGGCTGCTGCACTTAGGAAACTAAGTACTATGGTGTGACTAGAGCAAGTCAGAGGACAGCAGGAGATGAGGCTGACGAGACAGGCAAGGCTGGGCACACAGGACCTCAGGATTTAGATTTTTATCCTGACAGTGATGGGAAACAGAGGACGGAGTTCAGATAGAAGAGTAATAGATCAGTGATTTGGCAAGATCACTCTGACTGCAGAGGGGGGAGGGACTGGAAGGAGTCAAGGCTGGTTAGGAGGCCACTCAGGTGGCCCAGGTGAGAAATGAGGAGGCCTTGTTTTAGGCAGTGACAGTGGGGCAGGAGAGGAGGTGACCATATCACAAGCCAAGGAAGTAGAACTGGCAGAACTCTGTGATGAACTGGAGAGAAAATGCCAGATTAGGCTGGGCACGACGGCTCAGCCTATAATTCCAGCACATTGGGAGGCTGAGGCAAGAGAATTGCCTGAGCCTGCGGGTTCGAGACCAGCCTGGGCAACTTGGCGAGACCTCGTCTCTACAATCAATCACAAAAACTAGCTGGATGTGGTGGCGTGTGTCTGTAGTTCCAGCTACTTGGAAGGCTGAGGCGGAAGGATCGCCTAAGTCCAGCCAGTAGAGGCTGCGGTGGCTGTGAGCGTGCCACTGCACTCCAGCCTGGGTGACAAGAGATTCCAACTCAAAAAAAGAAAATGCCAGGCTAAAAGACACTCGGTAGTGGGGACCATGGTCAGTAAGAAGTGACTAACAGGTACTTGCAAAGGCTGGAAGGATAAGCGAGCAGGAAGTGGCATGCCCTTGGACACTCGGTGGTTAAGCATGTGAACTCAGACATCTGGGCTGAAATCACAGCTTCTCCATTTGCTGGCGAAGTGACATTGGGCAAGAGGCTTCATCTCTCTCCAGGTCTCAGTGTCTCATTCATCAAATGAGAATAATCTAGCTGGTAGAGTTGTGAGTCTTGGGTGAATGAATACGTGTCAGTCCTTGGAAGCGTCTCTAGAATAGAATGCACTCTAAGTGCCAGCGGGTGTTGGTGTCATCCTTGGGTTGCTGGCTTGTGCATCTGCTAAGATCCAGGGCAAAGAACCTTCACTGGCTCCAACAACATGCAGCATTTAATTCAAACCACTATACGGATGCTCGCAAGTGTCTACCATCCGGCCCTGTCTTGTATCTTGGATCATACTGCCCTACCACCTCCTGGGTCTAGGTCATTCACAGTTCCCTCTGCCTGTAACACCCTCTCCTGCCTTCATCTCTGCAGATCCAAATCCATTTCAAATGCCTCTTCCAAAAAGCAGTCCATTCCCTCAAGCTCTGCAGCTTTTCAAATCTAATTTCTTTGTATTTCCCTTAAATCTTTTGGTTAGGTTTGAATGGGCTTTTTTTTTTTTTGAGTTGGAGTGGCACGCTCCTGGCCACAGCAGCCTCGACCTGGGGGGCTCCAGGGATCCTTCCGCCTCAGCTTTCCAAGTAGCCAGAACTACAGGCACACGCTACTATGCCCTGCTAGTTTTTTTTGGCTTTTTTTGAGTTAGAGTCTCACTCTGTTGCACAGACTGGAGTGCAGTGCACCATCCTAGCCACCGCAGCCTCGATCCACTGGGCTCCAGTGATCCTTCTGCCTCAGGCTTCCAAGTAGCTGGAACTACAGGCACATGCTACCATGCCCGGCTAATTTTTTTTTTATTTATTGTAGAGATGAGGTCTCGCCAAGTTGCCCAGGAGGGTCTCAAAGCCGCGGGCTCAGGCAATTCACTCACCTCGGCCTCCCAAAGCGCGGGATTACAGGCTGAGCCACCGAGCCCGGCCCCAGCTAGTTTTTGATTTATCGTAGAGATGAGGTCTCGCCAAGTTGTCTGGGCAGGACTTGAACTCGCGAGCTCAGGCAATCCACTCGCCTCAGTCTCCCAAAGTGCTGGGATTACAAGCTGAGCCACTGAGCCTGGCCTGAATGGGCTCTTTGAAGGTGACAACTGTCCTTACTTATCCTCCTACCTCCTCCGGCCCCTGACCTTGCCTGTAGCAGAACTCAAGACATCTTCACTGAATTGAAACAAGAGCCCACAAGATAAAGTCCTTGTATATGAAACTGGGATGTTAGCGCCACCTACTTCATAGAGTGGTTTTGAGTGCTTGGAGCATAATAAGTGTTCAATAAAATATATCCTCATCTACATTATCATTTTTTTTTGAGTTGGAGTCTCACTCTGTGGCCCAGACTGGAGTGCAGTGGCATGCTCCTGGCCACCAAAGCCTTGACCCGCTGGGCTTCAGTGATTCTTTCGCCTCAGCCTTCCATGTAGCTGGAACGACAGGTGCGCACTACCATGCCCGGCTTATTTTTTATTGTAGAGACGAGGTCTCACCAAGTTGCCTGGGCGGGTCTCAAACTCACAGGCTCTGGCAATCCACTCACCTCGGCCTCCCCAAGTGCTGGGATTACAGGCTGAGCCACCAAGTCTGGACTACATTACCATTTCTATAGAGCAAAAGTTTCACTTGTTCTTTGCCCACCTTAATAGAAATTCTGTCTAGTGTTAATGAAGTTGAAAGATAACGGCGTTACTTCAGAATTCCTGGAAAGTTGGTCAATGGAATCAATATGTGGGAACCACTGTTCTGGCCCACCATGGCATTCCTTTCCCAGGTCCCAAGGGTTTCCTCCATGAAGGCATCACTTGACTACCTCGGGTCTTTTCTTTTTGTCTTTGGAGGAACAGAGCTCAGCTCTTGATCTCTGTGACCCTGAGAAATAAGGCAACTGGGTAGGGGACAGGTCCAGCAGTTACCTCTTCTCATCTCAGCCCCTAGGCTGGCTGCTGAAGTCAGAAACAGACCCCGGGACATAGGGGGTGGGTTGTGGGGGTTTGGCCTGACCGGTCCGAAAGAAGCCAACAGGCAACTGTGACAGTCCTTGGGTTTTATTTTTATTTTTAAAATTTACTTTGAAGAATTTTGTGAGTCCCAGAGGAGTCCTTTTATGTCATTTTTTCTTCTTTTTTTTAGAATTTCCTCTAAAGTCCATTAGGGAGATTTAACACATTCCAGATTTAGCACTTTAATGGGCTTTTGTTCTTGCCTTGTTTCTCATTTTTAATTTCTCTTCTGGTTTTTAATTAGCTATCCCTGGGATCACAAAGTTTGCAAACTCAACAGCAAAATTTCGGGAAAGTCTCTTATGTGTGAGTTCATTATGCTAATATCATGTCCACTGCCTGACTGTAGGTAAGAGAGGATCTGTCCCAGAGACGAAAGGTGAGTCGTCAGATGGCATTCACTACGCCATGTGGGGGCACCAGGTCTCTTCTACAAAACCACAGAGACTCTACATTTGAGAATTTCTTTTTAGCACCATCTTGGCGATTTTCTCTCTCCAGGAACCTCGGACAAGTCTAACCTGGAGCTGATCACTCTGACATGCACCTGTGTGGCTGCAACTCTCTTCTGGCTCCTGTTAACTCTCTTTATCCGAAAAATGAAAAGGGTAAGAGCACAGATGAGTTCTATGCCCCTTTTTGCATAATATTCTAAAGCGCCTGGTCTGATGCCTCGAGCAGGCACTGACCAAATGCTGGGCCTCTTCCCCTCCCCTCTAGCTCCAGTCTCTGATCTGGGGAACACTGGAAAGAAATCACTAAAGTGTCTCTAACCACACAGTGGGTGCTTGCAAGAAAGGTCATAGCAATAAGCTGATGAGTATTTCTCAGTGACACAAGGGGTATTTTTGATATAATTATATAAGTCTTTCAGTTCAGCATGGGACCTGTGAAGTCTTTATTTTCTTAACCTCACTCTGCTAAGAAATGGAAAGGTAAGGCAAAACACAGACCAGCCTTTGACTTCTCTCTTGTAATGCTGTAGCTGGCACGTGTACTGGTCATTCTGTGCTTGGGGAGACCCACCACAAAGCTCGGTTTTTTTAGAGTGTGAGGTCTGGGTTGGCATTTAGGGCATCAGATTTCTATACCCAGGCCTGTAAAACATCTTGCTTCTCTAAAATTAAGTGGGAAAATAACTAACATTCATTCATTCATTTGACTTCAAATATTTCCTGCGTGCCCACTCCACGCTGAGTGCCAGCCCTCTGGTAACAGTGAGGAGTAAATGCTGGAGGGAGCAGTCTGGGGACACGGACTTTAATCAGTCACACAAATGTCACACTGCAACTCTGAGCGAGCTGAGTTAGCTGCCTAAAAGGTAGGAGTGATCAGATGAAGAAAGGAGGGAAAAATGTTGCAGGCAGAGGGAACGGCAGGTATGGGGCTGGCCAGGCAGGGGGGAACCAGAATGAGAGCCTGACAGAGGCCATTAGGGCTGCAAGGAAGGGCAGAATCTGAGAAGACACTGCCAGGAGCGCAGGGAAGGGCCACAAGGTCTGTCCAGGCAGGAATTTAGTTTGCATTCTATAAGCAAGGCACAGCCTGGAGCAGGAGGGAGATGAGGCGCAGGTAGGGGTGGTGTGGCACTTCTGTGTCTGGAAAGATGGCTTTGGCTGAGATGCTTTGGGCGATTGTTTTGGGGAGAATGGACCAGAGTGGGCAAGAGAGCACTGAGAGGCACCCGTAGATGACAGTGGTCCGGTGAGAGGCGATGGGGGTTGTGACCAAATGACTAGAGCCCAGAGGTATTCAAGAGATAAAATCAACAGGATTTGAGAAGCCTCAAGAGGTCTCTGGCAGTCTTATTAAGATTAGCCCTGCTGGGCTCGGTGGCTCAGCCTGTAATCCCGCACCTTTGGGAGGCTGAGGTGAGTGGATTGCCTGAGCCTGCAGGTTTGAGACCCGCCCGGGCAACTTGGCAAGACTTCATCTCTACAATAAATCAGAAAATTAGCCGGGCGTGGTAGCGCGTGCCTGTAGTTCCAGCTACTTGGAAGGCTGAGGCAGAAGGATCGCCGGAGCCTAGCAGGTCGAGGCTGCGGTGGCCGGGAGCGGCCACTGCACTCCAGTCTGGGCGACAGAGTGAGACTCCAACTCAAAGAAAAAAAAAAAAAGATTAGCCCTGCGCTGGGTGTGGTGGCTCAAGCCTGTAATCCTAGCACTTTGGGAGGCAGAACTGAGAGGACTGCCTGAGCCCAGGGGTTTGAGGCCAGCCTGGACAACATGGCAAGACCTCGTCTCTACAATAAATCAAAAAATTAGCCGGGCATGGTGGCATGAGCCAATAGTTCCAGCTACTTGGAAGGCTTAGGTGGGAGGATTGCCTGAACCCAGCGGGTCGAGGCTGTGGTGGCTGTGAGCATGCCACTGCACTCCAGCCTGGGCAGAGTGAGACTCCAAAAAAAAAAAAAGTTAACCATTATCAATGTGCCAGATCTCATGGAAAGTTCTTTATGTAGCATCTCAGCTAATCCTTCCAAAAATGCCAAGAGGTAAATATATTATTCCCATCTTACTGAAAGGGAAACTGAGGCTCAGAAAAGTAAAGGAACTGGTGCAAAGTCACTCTAGTTGGAGCTGATTTTTGAGCCTTAGGCCTTGGACTTGCATTAACAATCAATAAGGTGTACTTTACAGTGCTGGTGTAAGAGGCAAGGCCAGCAGCCCTTGCTATGGTAAATGTGGAACACCAGGCTTTTGCCATAGAGTGACTGGTTTTCAGACATGACAATTAAGGCCACTACTCTAGAAGGAAGCAAAGGTCACACAATAGTTTTGAAAGGGGAGACACATCCTATAGGGAAACACATCAAAGGCCAAACTTGCCAAATCTATAGGGAGCTACCAAGGCCACAGAAGTTCAAAGGAGGGAGGGTGAGAAGAACTTCAGAGAAAGCCATGCCCGAGATAGAACTGGAAGGCTGTAGCTGGAAGGAAAGAAGCTGGAAAACACAGGCCTGCCCTCCACTCCTGCTCCCTGGATTGGGACTTAGTCTGGTTGCTCCACAGAGAGGAGCAGAGCAGAAATAGAACTGGAAAAGCAAGCTGAAAGTCAACTGAAGAGGTCCCTTCTGTTCTAAAATTTGGTGAGACTTTGATGTCAGTAAGAAAGGATGAAGGCAAGAGATTATCATCTCAAAAACAGAATGCCTATGATATGTGAAAAGGACTTGGGGGTGGGAGGCAAAGAGAAACAAGGCATCAACACATTTCCATGGGGTTTCTCTACAGTGTAAATTCTTCATTGATGAGGCCTGCATTTTACCTTCTCATCTTTATCCTGATAGGTCAGTGCTGTAAAGACAGGTGACATTTACTGATGCCCCCACCAACATATTCCATGGGTTATTTAATTTGATATACACAACAACCCCATGAGATAAGTACCATTATTATTACTAGTCATACAATTAAATAAACTTTAATAAATTTAAATGTACATAAATTTCCTTATCTGTAAAATAAAAATCACAGATAAGGAGACTAGGGTTAGAGAGGTCAAGCAACTTGCCCTCAGTTATGTGGCTGGGCAGAAGTTGAGCTCTGATTCCAATCCAGACGGTCAGCCTCAATGCTTGGGCTCTGAAGCACTTAGTCTCCAAGCCAAGCACCTAGTAGCTACTCAGTGTTAATGTCTTTTTTTTTTTTTTTTTTTTGAGTTGGAGTCTCAC